ATTTGGTTCACTACACCTCATAAATATTAAACAGCAAACTGTCGTCTGCATCAGCCATTTTCGACATGCGAGGGTAAAATTACGGAGTGTGCATATCATCCAGTAGGCAGGGGTGCGGTGGTAAATTTTGGGAAGTGCTTTTCGTCCTGCATGTAAACACATAAATTTGGCAGGAAGACGAACGTACTGCACCCTTACCAGATGGACTTGACCAATTAACATGTCATGGCCTAATTAATATTTATGAGGTATAGTATGTTTATCAGAGGGTGTGTTACATGTTGTTTGTACTAGAATATGAGCAAGTAAAGAAAAGCAAGCCTGTATAAACAACACTATACAATAGCATTCTTAAAGATGTATTATCCAATAATTTTTTTTAATACACAAATTTAAAGTTTTTAGTTTCAAAATTTTTAAAGATCACAGTTTTTTACCAAAACATAAAAGTGTTTTAAAAAAATTGTTTACCCTTGAAATAATTTTTCCAATGATTTTGGTTTTTTTAATGAACAAAGTTACAATTTTTAGTTTCAAATGTTGCTTTCTTTTGAAAGATCACAGTAAGTTGTTTACCCAAGCATGGAAGGTGTTCCAGAATTTGTTACCTTGAAATTATTTTGTTTTTTTCTTTAAAACGTGCATGCTTTTAGAATTACAAAAAAAACCCCAAATTCTCATCGTGCTTAGTTACACTATGTTTGCTTTGTAGTACTTTTCAACAAAATGTTGATAGAACCTTGGAAAGAAAAGATTTTATAGCTGTCTTCACACATGATGGGACAAAAAATGTGATTTGCCCATATTTGAGTGTGATATGACATGGGCACATCCAAATTTTTCGCATAAAATAGTGAAAGTGAATTGGATAGTGTGGATTAAGCAATAAATAAAAGGAGACATTTATGTTTTTAGAATTTAATGATTTTTATCAATATTTAGGGTCGTAGCTGTAAAAAACAAAGGGTTGATGATATGTATAAGAGCATTGGTGAACTCTAAATAATAAGAGTGGATTTTAAGGATGAAAAAGTGGGTTAATCAGGGTGGGTGGATGACCATGAAATTAGCTTTAGACTGGGTGGTCCTGCCCACCATAACTAATAATAATAATAATATTATTAATATTATAGCAGTTGTATGCCCATATATAGTCATGATATGCCTATAGTATATATGGTCAAGATGTGAAGTCATCATGACCATACATAGGCATGTCACATAAAATTTGATAGTCTTCAACAGGGCTTGAAGTTAATAACTTTCCCACTTTGAAAAAGTTAGATTTATATTTCAGAGTTCTTGTAAGTACATTGGAAAATACATCTTTACTGACTGCCATATGTATTAGTCATTTATCTGTACACACTGTTGCAATATACTGTATGTGTGGACCACTCAAAAAATGTACCCACACACACTCTCACTAGTTACAAGCAATCAGTCAGAGGTTTCTCAAATAATTCATTTTCCATATATCATGGAAAAGCAAAGGTGATGAAGATTATAAACAGAAATATTATGTGTAAAGAATGTATATATCTGTCTAATAGATTTTTCAACAAAATATTGTGTGGATAAATAGTTTGGTTGTGTTAATTGGCAATTGGAGAGGTTTTGCTATATGGTTCGCCTATGTCTACAATCAACTTTTCATTCAAGAAAATGACCAAAATTATAGACCTTTATACATTTAAAATGTACATCCCTATTCTGTTGACTACAGTACACCTCAGGCAAAACCTCTCTAATTCAATATTTTATGTTTGAAAGTTTTTAAGTCATTTTCTGGAACTATAAAGCGATATCCTTCAGATTAGGTGTAATGCAAAATGTTTATTTTCCAGTTCAAAATACAACTGATTCAATTATTGTTTTGTATGGACCCATTGTATTTTTTTTCCTTTTGGAATTGTCATAATGGGAGGAGCTCTAACAATTTGCAGTGCATTTGAAGTATAATATCAAAGGAATTTCTCCTTCTTGTGTCACAAATGGTCACATCACAAACTAATACAAAGTAGGTTGTATAGTTTGTGAAAACCAAAAAATATTGCCGGTCAGATTAAGACTAGAGCATAGTGGTTGTTAAGCATTTTTGTATTCTTTACCATAAAAAATGTCAGTAACAACAGTCCTTATTTTTACACGCTTTTCTTTTTGTTTTTACAAACTTACACAATCTACTTTGATTATGTTGTTTCGTGATGTGAGCAACGAAACAACTAAATCAAATTAATTAAGAGGCCTTGCATTTTGTAATCTCAAAGCGATTTTTTTTCCTGTAAATCTTGTAAAATATTATCTTTATACTTGTAAATATTCATTTCTGTACACAAACATATGTTTAGTTTATATAGTTTGAGTTTATATTCTTTTAGTATATGAATTTTTGATTTACTTATTTACAACTTATCCCTCATTTTGATTAAGTTTGTGCAATAAACATTCTTTATAAAACAAAACTGAGTTATTGTTCTTTAGATTATAAAATTGTGAATACAGATTTAAACAGCAAAATATGTATTTTAACTTTCATTAATATAATATTTTTAGTGCGCATTATATTTTTTTCATTCTCATATACAGTAGGCCAACTACTGTTCAACAGTTCACATTATATATCATGTCATTTTTAATAATATTACATTTAATATAATACAACACATGATTATCTTTTATATTGTAAAACGTCAACAACATAATATATTTTCCTAAAGATGCATTACTTGACAATAAAGTGTTTTCAACAGAGTGATATTCTCACGGGCCTGCTTTCTGAATTCGCAGTTGGCACCGCCAGTGGTTAGAAAAGGCATCACATCAGCGCTCAACACCTTATTTTAATCTAATCAGTCTCCCCCTTCCCCATGTCAATACTTTACGCCACTGTAGATACAGAGAGATACACTCAGAAAAAGCCAGAGACTCTTTTGTAGAGTCGGTAATCGTGTTTCTATTAACTGAATAACCTTTTCTGTAAGTATTGAAAATCAGCTGGACAAAATGATTTATTTTTAGGAATGTCGCTCGGGCGGATCAAAATTGTTAGCGGGCTGAATCTTGGCCTGCAGATAGTTGTTGAATACCAGGTCATAGGGGTTGAACTGTATTTATATATCTGTTAAAAATACACTTATACTATTATGTACAATTTATGTCATCGTAGAAACAGCTGGATGGAAATAACAGATTTTTATCAACGGACTCAACAATGTTTAATCAAGGACTTATAACTTTTACCAGGATAGGAAGCAAGCTAATTTAAGCCGTCTAACTTTAATTAGCCTTGTGTGCGGTGTTGTTATGCTAATGAGCCAGATAAGCACAATCTGCACATGCTCAGAAAAATAAAACTTTTCTTACACTGCGGTTTCGGCTTGGTGTACAGCTAGGCCTAGCCGAGAATTACGGTACGGTAAAACAAAGCAAAGTAAGGGTACTAATTTCACTTGGCATGTAAATCAATCATACTTACTAATCTACCAATAAAATCACCTGCTATTTAAGATAAAAGGCAAGTATGTTCACAAATTTGATTTTAAATTGATGCGATTTTGTTTTGTTGGCTAGCCTAGGCCATGTCTAACCACTTATAAAAATGCAGAAAAAAGACCCAAAACAAATTAAATGAGTTATCAACTAACTAGTGCATTAAAATTATTCATATACTTACTACTTAAGTATATAAAATTAAAATGTATTGCTCACAACGCCATTTTTTTATTTTAATACGCCTTTTCTTTGTTTACCGTAATCCTTGGCAGGCCTAGCTGTACGCCTAGCCGATACGTAGTGCGGGCCACAGTGTGGCTTCCTATCCTGGTAAAAAAAAAAACTAAAAAAAAGTTTATCATCTGCCTCCCTGTTAATAACTTCTTTTGTTCAACAATAAATAGAACTTGTTCATCCTAGTAAGCTCTGGCCACACAATGATGACACCATCACTTCTATATATGGGCATGCTGAAACCTAGAATACAAGCCATGGTTTTTTTTTTTTTTTTTTTTTTTTGCAAACTTTGGTTGGGCTTCCCTTTGAGATGGGCTTTCGAGGCTGCTATTGTGAAGTAAAGAGGGGGGTTCTTTTCTAAATGAATGCTGTAAATTTTTGGAATTACTATTATAAAACAATAAATAGGGCCACTGTAACATTAGTCTGTATCATGAAGTGTATAACCGGCTTTAAAAAACTAAGCATGTTTTTTATTTATTTTGTTTCTTTGAAATCCATGTAGAGTGTATGTACTGTATTTTCGAGGCTTACTTTTGCAAACTGAAGAGGGTGGGGGGTGCTTAAATTAGAGATGGGCTTCTCAAGATTAAGCCCATTGGGCTTCTATTCAAGGTGTTATTGTATATGTGAGGTCTCACCACGAAATGAGACGCATCGTTGGTGAAATCATATTGAGATATTCACCAAAATAGGTCAAAGGCAACATTTTTACAAAATTTTGATTTTAATGTTTTTAAATAACTTGATACTTATTTTTTATGATTGTGTACTTTTTAAGTGAATTTTCTTACTACAACAGTGTTCTCTTCGCATTCTGTAATTCTAGTCCTATTATTTGTACAGGTTAGTTTATCTTTGAGGCCGATTTTCTCAAAACCTGGTTCTCATACACCTAATGTTTAAATGCTAAAATCTCTGGATCTATTTATCCTAGGGAAGCCATTCAAAGACCAAATTAAAGCTTATAATGTGGTCTACCAAAATGTAATATTAACTCATTTTTTGATTTTCTAACGATGAGACTCATTTTGTAGTGAGACCTCACATATGAGAAAATCACAAATGTTTGTCACACAAAATTGGATAGTGTATATAGGCTTTTCTCTGTTTATTTTATAGTGATATTGTAACCATATTACACTAAAAATGTAGATGATTATTGAACAGATTGCTTGACTTTCTTCCTATGTAGAACATTAAGAAATTAATTTGAATTTTGGAGTAGTAATGACCTTACTAATGACAATACATGTTGTGGTTTTTAGGATGTCGACCCCAGCTTGGTGGATCATTTTGATTATGTCATGAGGCCAGCCAAGGACAGGGAATCCTTAAAAAAGAAACACAAAAAGTCCAAACATGTTAAAGGAAAAGAGAAAAAGGTTGGCAAAAATTACTTATTTTTTAGATTATAATTGTCAACTGCATATATTGTGTCTTTGGTGGCGCCAGGATTTTGCCAACAGAAGTACGATGTCTATTACGAAGGGTTACTGATTTTCATGCCATGATGACACTCCCGTATTCCACTTTTTCCTATCTTGAGCATCCTTCTCATTCAGACCAACTTTACAGCTTTCTTTCTTCACCATATCTTTCCATGTAACCACCAAGTGGTCCACAGACGTTGCGTAATACTCGTCAGAAAATCATCCACCGGTTGGGGATCTTGCCCCCCCTTCCCCTTGGGCAATTCCTGGTGCGACCCCTGATCTAATCCATTTTTAAAGTTTTAATCGGTCTTACTTAAACGGATTTAATTGTGATTTTCCTAGCCGCCATCTGGAAATACAAGTTGGTGGATTGAAAAAAACCAGTTGGATCATCTCATCTAGTTGGAAAGATCAGTCCTAGTAGAAAAAGCCAGTTGGACCAGTTCAAAAATTTGGAAAGACCAGTTGGACAAGTTCAACCAGTTAGAAAAACGAATTGGGCCCAGTTGAAAACGAATTGGGCCAGTTGACATTGCTAATTGGTTTCAACTGGAATTTTTACTTTGGTTATAAATGCTTGTCTTTGCCTTTCCAGAACACTGATGATGAGGAGGCGGAGCTCAGTATTTACTGCGTGTCATGTGGTCTGCCTGTCAATCTGACTAGAGCCATCAGACATTTTCAAAGATGTTTCAGTAAGGTACGATGAACTGTTTGAATTTTGTTGATAGAAACTATTCATAAAACTGGGAAAAAACAGAAAAATTTTATGACAACATTAAACATCCTCAATTCAGACTAAACAGAATACAGTTACTGGTAGAGGGAGACATAATGGTTGTAGTACTTCTCAAATACAATAGTGATCAGCAAGAGGCTTGAACCCATGAACTTTTGATTGAAAACTATAGCTTTACCATTGTGCCACATTCTTGCACTATTTAATAATTAACCTACTATTACAAGAACTTACTCAATTTGTGTGTGACTCATAATTTTAATATTTGTATTTAAGGCATAATCATCAAAATTTCTTTGTTTTGTATCAAAAGCATTTAATATTAATCAAAAGTTATAACTGTTTATAAAATATGTAAACTTATTGGGAAAAAACAAATAAATAGAATTGTTTGACTGATATTGAATAACCTTGAATTTCAGTTGGAAAGTCAAACATCTTATGGGTCAGCTTATCCCACAAGAATTGCAGGGTAAGTGAAGGGCTGTATAGCTCTCATAGCAATTGCAATGATAGTTAATATTTGTAAGCTTTTAACACTGGCAATAACCATATTGAACACTAGAGGGCGATATTAAACTTTGTATATTTATATGAATATAAGTACTTGCCAAGATTGGCAGGAATATCTTAGAAATGTATCAAGTAATCTAGTGGTTTTGAAGATATACTCTCTGGTAAACTCTGAAGATTTTAAATTCTGCAATTTAAATTTTCATTATTTGTCTGTAAATTTAAATAAGTAAAAATAATATGCTTCTATGCAAACTTACCCTCCAGACCTACACACACGTCCCCTACACAACACGTGCATACTCACCCACATAAACATACATCCATAACACAGTCACGCTTAATTATTTAATTATTTTACTGGGTTTTATAATCTTTGTAGGGAGTCGATGTTCTGTGATTACTTTAATACACAACAAAACACCTACTGCAAACGATTGAAGGTTTTATGTCCTGAGCATACAAAAGACCCAAAGGTAAGTTAGTTATGTACCAGAATAAAGGGTGCAGATCTGTTTCGAAAGGTTGGGGAGGGGGGGACATTTTGAGACCAAAATTTGAGGAAATAGTACTCTGTAGATGACTGAAATTGACAATCTTTTGTAGTAAAAGCACATCACGCTTATAGTCAAAATGAAGCACCAACAAATTTTTACTGATCTTTTATCAACGATTTTTTGCAACCGTAAAGGTCTAATTAATAGAAAAGAATTTTAAAACATTGTCTTTGATGTATTTACCTTACTTTACTTTACCTAATTCAAATCCACCTCAGCCTTGCCATGGTTGTTGCTGAGGTGCAAAAATTTGAGAAAATGGTACCTCTAGATGGCCGGAAATGACACTGTTATAGTAAAATTCATCATCATCACGTTACCATTATACTCAAAATGAACCGACAACAAATTTCTCATTATTTTTTATCAGGGATTTTCAGCAGTCATGGCAATCTAAATAATCTCTGTGATGTTCCATAGAAAATAAAACTTAAATCATTGTCTTTTATGTATTTATTTTTCTTTATCTTCTTAAAGCTGCGAGTCCACACTCATCTCAGCCCCACCATTGTTAGGGCAGGGGTACGAAAATTTGGGTAAATAGTGCCTCTAGCTGGCCGTAAATGACATTATTTTTGCAAAACTCATCATCATCTCATAACCATTGTAGTCAAAATGAAATGCCAACAAATATCTCATGATCTTCTCATTTACTTTAATTTACCAACTTCATGTGCTGAAAACCAATTATATCTTTACATGTTTTTTTTTCTCATACTTCTCAAATTATAATATTAAGGCATGCACACTCAATCCGTGTACAGGTAATTCAAATATTTGTGGGCACTGAGATACCGGTATCTTGTTATAAAAAGATGTATTCTGGCTGTACAGGGCTCTTTCGTTAAAACCTGGATCATTTATTCAGTTCCTTGCAACAACTTTCAGGCATCTTTTTAACTTATAAAATCACATTGCCACCAAAAAGTGGGGGGAACCAACCCCTCTTAAAAAGATGTGTGGGGGACGTGTTTCCCCATCCCCTATTATCTGCGGCCATGACCAGAGTCTGTCATTTTTCGACTTGATTTGGAGCTAATAAAAGGGATTGATTATGAGCACACATAACGTATACACCTTTGTTATTGATTCTTATTCTGTTGTGAATGCCATTTAGGTGAGTGATGATGAGGTTTGTGGATGTCCATTAACAGAGGGAAATATACTGAAGGAGACGGACCAAGTCTGCCGGATGGCCAAGAAGAAGTGTAACAAGCACTTCCACTGGGAAAAGCTACGTAGAGCTGAGATCGATCTACAGCGAGTACATTGGGTAATTTGGCAACATTACAATAGTTATTTATTGTTACTATCATTAATACCATAAATACATGTTCACTGACAAGTTTTAACAGGCGCTACCTAGCATTCTCATCCATAGCAGCAACATATGTTGAGTGCCTTTACAGTATTAAGTTACAGTAACTAAAATTTAGATTAAACTAATAAACTATTAATGATAATATTTATAGTATAATGTGATACAATCTGGTAGGCTCTAATTATTGTCTTAAACTAGAAACTCTCTCACTTACTCAATTGTACAATGAATCCAGATTGGCTCCCTGCAAACGTTAAACAGTGCAATGCCATCTAATGATTGTCGATTGCAGTGTCAAAAAAATTGTGCTTGTGCGTTGTGGCGTTAAGATCTTCATGAAATCGCATCGCCCATATTGAGTGCCTGGCTTTAGTGCAAGTGAACAAACCAGATACATGCAGAGTTTAAGCATTTGGCAAACGTGAGGTTTCTTTCAGAAAAAACATATCTTACAATGATATAATTTGATATTGATTGAATGTTAATACTTTTGTATTATATAGTGGCTGAAACTTGATGATTTTATTGAACAAGAGCGAACAATTCGTACGGCGATGTCTGACCGAGCTGGTGTCCTCGGGCTTGTTCTTCATCAGACTATTGATCACGACATGCTGGCCCAAGTCCACTTGCAATCTGGGTTCAACCCAGCGATGAATCCTCAAATGAACATGGGAATGAGCTTAGCGACCGGAGGTCCTGCAGGCACCGATGTAAATCCTGGCGACGAGGTAGAAGGAGGACAGACTGAACTGCCAGTAGCTGCCTTACCAGTGGGCGTGGCTCAAACAGCCTAAAATAAAATATATTTACATACACTGTTCTGATTGAGACAACATTGGTTTTCTTCTTTGCACCATGAAGTCTTTTAGATTTGTTTTACTACCAGTGGACGGTGCGCAAATGGCTTAAAATAATATTTACCATTTATGTGGCAGCAATGGTGAACATCAACGCAACATTGCTTTGCATGTTTCGAACTTCAGATATTTTAGATTTTGTTTTACCTTTTTTATATAGAACATTATGGACAGGTGGATTCTATTACACTTATTTTATTTTTTGCAAGTCAGATAAAATGTTAAATTAAATTGAAATCTTTCAGATGTGTGTTTGTGTATATGTTTGTAGGTTTCCCGCTTTGCTCTTTAATGAATACCAATATCAATTACAATTTATTTCAGAAAGAATAACGATTTGTCAAAAATTTGCAAATGATTAACATTCATTAATCAATTTATTAAGAAATATTACTTCTTCACAAATATTTAATGTAAAAAGTAATTTTTGAAAATTCTCATAAATTGTCATATCAAATATTGATTAAATTTTAATATGCCAAAATACACAAATACATTGTTGAGTGTAAACCATAACCTTTAACTTGCATTAAAATGTTAAAATATTGTGTAAGAGGGTTTCCTTTACAGTAGTTATTTACTGTGTTTTTTAATGGTACTCTCAGTAAACAAGTGATTTTAATTACTGTACCTTCTGCCAATAGGCTATGTTTTATGTAATACTCTTGATTTTCATCTTTGTAGTCTTAACGAATACGAATATTTCCACTGAATACTTACGCTAGCGTTCGTTAATCGGCCAGTCTGTACATTTCGCTAGTTACGCCACGGATTAACGTACGCCTGGCATTAGATATGACTGGCGTGTATCGCTCAGGTCTGAACATAGCCTTTACTCTTGTCAAATCAAACCGCTGTACACACTCAAGTGAATGGATTTAAATGTGTAGTAGGTTTTAAGATTTTGCTCAGCATTGTCAGTGTAATCATAGGTACCTTCAGTGAAATGTACAGTGAATGGATTTAAATATGAAGTAGGTTTTAATTTTGCGTCGTTATAATTGTAGATACATTCATTGACAAGTACAGTGATGCACAGGGGTATTAACATGCGTTCGTAAAGATTTAATCAAGTCACGCTGTTCATGTTGTACTTTTCTGCCGGAAAAACATCGTGGATATTTTTCTTAGGTGTTCACTCAGTTAAACTTGCTGCACATCTTTTGAGGCAATTTGACCTTAAGAAGAATTGTACTCGGATCATCCACGCTGAAAGTCTCATAATTGCCAGTAACCATTTGCAGGCAATTAGCTGTAACAGCTGCAAAAGACAATGTCAGAGGTCAAACGCATATCAACAAACGCATAACTGCTTATACTATCATTTGCTTTTTTTACATGATAATAATAACAACTGTTGACAGTATATGGTAGTCTTATACGTCGAGCATTCTTCAAAACTGTTAAAAACAGTTAGAAAGCAGATGATATGCCGTATACTTTGTTTTTAGGCCTCTGCCTTGACATTCGACATAGACGCACTGTTAAAACTACAAGATGGTTTATTACTTTGGACTTTTTTTATATTATAAATCTTTGTAAAATATTTCTATCAGCTTGTGTATCTCAGTATACATCGTGATTATTCTGTTATTGAAATGTAAATATAATACATATCGTATGAATTTTGAACAATAAACATGCTGAAAGTGTGATCATTGTTTCATTTCAGTTATAACTAAATATAATTAAATACTACATATTTATTGATAGGTAATTCAAGAGCATTTTTATTACAAATTTGAAAGAGTAAAGACAACATATCATCAGAAGGCAATTGAGCATTCGCAAGCCAAGCCAAAGTTCCAATCAAAAGTCAAGGGTTTTGAATCCAAGACGTATGATATTTTTTGTGTCCTTGAGGTAGGGCTATTTCTATAATTTCAATCAGAAAGGTGTTACCGATGTTCTGAAGCAATGTTACGACCAAACATCACTTAAGTGCAAGAGAGGAAAACGAGTACAGTACTGCAGTGATGAGTGTGGCCTCAAGCTGGATTTCAAGTATGAAGCATTTTAAACAATTTTTACACTCAAGTTTGTAGGTAAACTTTTTTTGATATCTTGTGTAGCAAACTTTATTTTAGAGGAAAAAGAATATTGTATTTTTCATAATGTTTTGACTTTAATCAATCATAATAATATTAATCTGTGTGAAATTTAAAGCACTTTAATATTAATCTGTGTGAAATTTAAAGCACTCTTTGCACAGCACATCAAACAATAGCAGCAGAGTCCATGCAAGAAAAAGAATAAGAAAGAGCTGGAAGCAAGAGGTGAAAAATTAACTAGAGGTACACAATTTTTTTTTTATGTTTAGGTTTTTTCAATATTACTTTTTTATTTGAAATGTATTTATTTAATTTTTCTTTATAATGTATTTTAATATTGAATCAATTGTAAGTGTTGTACCAACATTTTACATAAAAAACTAAATAAAAATTTTTGTCCTCGTAAAAAAAATAAAACAATACCAAATAATACAAAAATAGAATAAATACTTACTTTTTTAACAAGAAGAAGCTTCCTTTGTTGCAATTTATTTTTTATGCTTGGTTTTTTTTTTAAATATTTTTGAAATGTATTTAGAGTTGAACTTGCCTAAGTCAAATCCAAAGCGAAAAATTGACTTGGATAAAATTCGACTTACAGATTGTTAATTAATGAAAAACACAACATTTTGGCATGTAAAATAAGTTTGACTTGGAAATTATTCGAGTTAGGCAAGGTGAACTTAAGCAGTTTAACTGTATTTAATTTTTATTTATAATGTATTTTATTTTGAGTCGATTGTAGGTGTGGTACCAACATTTTACATCAAAAGCTATATACAAATTTTTGTCCTCATACAAAAAATAAAACAATAATTGAATTTAATTTTTGAGCAAGAAGCAGCATTTTTTGTCGCAATTTCAATTGGTATATTAATAAATTGTAAGGAATATTTGGAACACTTAATAGATAACTTGTTAAACTCTTTTCTTTCTATTTATCTGATATCAGAAAACAGATGATGAGGAGGCGGAGCTTACTATTTACAATACTGTGTCATGTCTGCCGAGAGCCATCAGACATTTTCAAAGATGTTTTAGTAAGGTTTGATGAACTGTTTGAGTTGTTTGTTGATAAGAACAGTGGCGTATCTAGCAGTATTAAAATGGGGGTGGGGGGCTGGTGGGGTGGCGCGACCAAAATATGAGGGGGGCGTGGAATTTATTTTCGGTGGCCACGCCCACTGAAAAATATTGCTTCTTAGATTCCCGAATACACGTTAACCGCGACAGCATAAGCCTAAGCCTAATTTTTTAGCCTAATTTTTTTTGCTTTGAAGTTTTCGAATGGGGGGGGGGGGCGCCCCCCATGCCCCCTTGGATATGCCACTGGATAAGAACTAATCATAGGATTGAATCTTGAGTGATCATGAGATACTGTTCTCTCTACTACATGACCACAAACTACTGTGTCCTGGATAACAGTAGAACTGTGCTACTATAGTAAGCCACAGAAATGAATCAATTATACTGTACATACATATATACAGATTCAGATGATTTATTGATAAAGTATACCATGAAGAAATATAAAATGGAATTGGTTTGAATGCAGGTTAACATTTAAAAAGAAATGTAAACAAACTAAACTTACTGAATCATATACAGTAATAACAGTTATACTGTACATACATATCAGATTCAGATAATTTATTGTCAAAGTGTACATGAATATCTTTAAATTTTTTAGGTTGTATACAGATTTTACGATGACTCCAAAAAAAAATGCTAAGCTTAACTACTAAGTCATATTTTTTTTTTTATATTCCTTTTTATGATGATGAAATGGTAAAATGCTTTCTCTCTCCCCTTTTAAATATTTTCCTGTCCCACCACTTTGAATCACATTATTTAGGCAGATTTGAGTTTATAAGAAACCTTTAAAATGTATACAAGAATAATCAATCTGACTCAATGCATCTTATTCATTTAATGATGTATGCCCGTAGGTGTATTTATCAAATACACTCTGTTGTGTGCTTGTTAGGTTTTTTTTATACAGAAAAATTAAAAGGAATCATACAGGTACTAAAAAAATTAAACAAAGTTGCAAATATCAAAATTTATAAAAATCAAAGAGATAGACTGTACAACAAAAATCCCCAATAGATTGAAGTGTAAAATTTTTAACATCAATATGCATGAAATAAAATGTATATGCATTATTTGAATAAAAACTTAAATTTGACTACGACTACAAAAACTAAAATCATAGGATCAATAGTGTGTGATTCAAATTCTATGAGAATTACACTGTAAACAATTGAGGGTGGCAGATTACAGTATTATTGTTTCAGTATTTATATATTTTAACAGTTTAGTAACTTCAACTCAATAGATATAAATTGTGTTGAATAATTAATATTTTAACAGTTTAAAAAAAAAACTTCAGATCTATATGTATATCATATTCAATAATCAAAAATTTAACAGGTTTATAATCATTATATAAACTTTATATTTTGATATTATTGTATTCAATAATCATTTTAAGTTTAAGATCCATAACTTAACTCTATGTGGATGATATGAAATAATGGATATGTAGATATTCCTACACTTATAAATTTGAATTGCTGAAAACAAACAAGTGAAGCAAGTGGACTGTCAATATTTAATAATTGAATATTTTCACTGTTTTATTACCACAATTTGCTACTGCAAGTCTCCTTGGATGATATGAAATGATGGATAATCCATTTGGATTGTCGATTCCATCTTCTGGTTCATCAATTCTTTTAATGAAGTTTCCATCACTACTGAATAGCTGTAGTTTGTGGTCACTTGATATAATGATGTTGTCATCCTCATCAACTGCTACTGCTCTTGGAGAATTTACCTTACCATCCTCATCACCTGCTTCAACAAGGACATTTATGAACCTTCCCTCATTATCAAATAATTGTAATCTACTGTCCAATACAAGAAGGTGTCCTTGGTTTGTAAGAGTAACATCACTGACATCAATCATTTGACCTTCTTTTGTACCATATGACCCTATTGTTTTGATGGTCTGGCCATTATTCATGGCAAACATGTACACACAGCTACTGGACCAACCTCCTACGTACAAAACATTAGACATCTCATCCACATGAATACACCATGGTGATATCAATACTCCCTCACCAATTGTTGTTATCACCTCACCATTCATATTGCATATTCTAATGGCTTCAATATTCCAGTCATTGAATGCTATGTTACCATTCTTCATTTTGTACATTCTGCTAACATTCACATCTTGTGGTAGTGTAACCTTACCAATATATTCTCCTGATTGCTTGTACTTGAGCATTTCATTTGTCCGACATGAAACCAGTAAGGAGTCATCTTCACACTTAACTACATCTTTAATAAATGTTGCATTAATTTTAATAGTATTTACTAATCTTCCCTCTTCTACTTTGATTATCATTGGTGATTGTTTAACTGGTTCATTATCAGCACTCACATCTAGTTTACAAACTCCTGGACTTGTGCATTTTCCTGTCACAAAATAATCTCCATTGTCATCTTCCTGAACTTGAGAGATGCTGGTTTCCCCTGTAGGCTGTGTCCATGTTGCCTTCAGTTGACTTGCATATATTTCATGTTCATCTGTTTTGATTATTTTGACAATAATTGTCTGATCTTTGATTACAGATTCCTCTCCTTTTAATATTAAACAGTGTGCTGCCCTAAAATCTTTTACAGTCCCTATAGCACATTGTCTCAATGAAGCCATTTGCTGTTTGTTTATGAAGAAGTAAATTTCTCCATTATCGTCTGGCTTTGTTTTTGGTAATTCATTTATTCTGACCCTGAGTGCTGTAACTGCTGTTTCACTTGACTGCATTGCTGTGCCTTCATCACTCTTCAATAATTGATTAAGAAAAGACAGTTTTGTTTTTATATCGGATAATATTAATTTAAATTCATATATTTGTACGTCATTTACCTTCTTTTTTCTTTTGTAGGTTGTCTCTACTTCATTTTTCATTTTGTCTCTATTCTCCTTTACTATTTTGAATATTTCTTCAACATGATTGTCTATATCTCTCAAACATGTGTCTTTACATTTGTCTAATTTTGTAGCATTCTGAATAACAGCTTTGAGACCATCTTCTAATTTGTTAACAAAGTATTGGGCAGATTTTTCCAAGGTGGCGGAAGTTTCTTTAAATGTTTGGAATGCGTCTGAAATGTTGTTTGATTTGTGTTTTCCATCCCATGCATTGTGGTCCATAAGTATACAATTTACACAGATTGGAGTTTTACAATCTGTGCAGTAGAACTCCAAAGGTTTACTGTGATGTGAACACAGAGGTGGATGTAACAAAGTCATCTGAGAGGGGCTCATTGATTGCACATCCTCCATTAAATGTAACTTGTGATTTGCCATGGCTTTAAACTTCTTATGTTGATCACTACAAGTAGAGCACAAGTACTGTCTGCAATCCTGGCAGTAGTATTTTACCTGTCCTTCCTTTTCACAAACACTACATTTCATCTGATCTTTCTCTGAAAAGTTTTCGATACTTTCTAATAAGTTATTTAGAAAGGTATTTGGTGGAAGCTTTTGAAGCCCGCCCTCTGGAATGGGATATGATTTTGAGCAAGTTGGACAAATCAGCTCTTCCTTAGTCTTAACCCAGTCTTCCAAGCATGCCAAACAGAAACTATGGAGGCAGTTGAGGGATTTTGGATTTTTAAGTCTCTTAAAGCAGATGGTACACTCCAAGACCTTCTCATCAACATTTTCCAGAAACTGTTGCAACTTACTGGCGGCCATCTTCAATTGAAATTCTGTAATTTCAATAATATATTTCGATTATTATTATTATAATTTGGACTAAATAAATACAGTTATGATAATAATAAAAATATAACTTATATATTATATATAACTTATATATTATAAGTATATAGCTCATAATGCTAAATAATGATGTATACAAGGTAATGGATACAAAAATTGATTTTATGATGTATTCTTTTAAGCCTTCTAATCTGTGAGAGCATTTTGAAAAGTAATGGGGTGATATATGCACTCCTTCTATCTCTGCTTTCCTGCAGTGGCCCATTTTTCGCGCTCCTCCATCAGCCACGTCGTACCCTTCGTTAGAAAATTTCTGGTGCCACCGCTGCTTCGCTGTGATAATGTTTTTAACATTAATTTTATAATCTTTTGTACAATTTCAGCTACAATATATTAATTAACCCCTTTGACGATGTAAATATACATATTCTTAGGAGTAGAGGACAATAATAATAATAAATAAACAGAAGATCTTGTGCAAGGAATATATTGACTACACAAAAATAGTGACCTAGAAATTACATTCTAACTTGTTCCCTTAGAAAAAGTTTACAATCGATTGATCAAATTAGTCCTCAAACTCTGTCATCTTTCTCGACATGTTACTTGGACTTAACAACTAGGAGGAAGCAAGACAGTTGCATGGTTGGCATTAATGATGTAACCCCATATTACATTGTTTTCGTTGCAAGCTTGGTGTTTTTTGTGTTTTTACTTTGCATTTTATTCAGCCTTTTTTTGTTGTCTACATAATAATTTTTAAGTGCATAGAGACTTCATTTAGATCTGTCTATATATTATTGTTATTATTTATAGTAATTTTATTATATAATTTTGCACACTTTGAGTAATCTGTCATTAGATGCTATTTGCTTTACAAACTCCTCTACAGTGGTGGCACCAGGGGCGATAAGGGGAATTACAGACCAGACAGGTCAACCCCCTCCCCCGACAGGACTGAAAAAAAAAAAGAAAAGGCCTACGCCAAGCCAATAATTGTCTGTCACATACTGAAAGTGCCATTTCTGACCATGCAAATGTCCTATTAAGAAGTCTCTTGAGATGGGAGACACCTCCCAAACTCTCCTCCTGGGTGGAGCTCAAGACCCCCTCTCCCTGTCAGGTAGCTTATCCACCCAAGAAATATATCCTACAGCCACCACTGGTGAAGTTTATGTCATACCATAGATCTTGCTGCAATGTTAGCATTCTGTAAATGATGAATTATGTGTCCATTTTTTCTCATAATTCATACTGATTTAGGTTTGGTAGGTGAAACCATTTCTGTTGAATTGTATCTTCAATATCGTTTTTCTAAATATATAGTTACTTTACAGGGGCTAGACTAGTACTTTAACTTTTACACAGATTTAATATTAAATATTAATCTGTAAAAGTTAAAGTATTTTATTTATACTTGATTTTATAGCATGTATGCATACCTACCAAGTCTCCCGCATTTGGCGGGAGACTCCCGCTTTTCGCCCTAACCTCCAGCTCTCCAGCCACTAGCCTAAAATCTCCAGCTTTTCTAATAATCTCAAGATTTTTTTTATTAAAACCCACAATTTAATACAAAAATATCCAAAACGTGATAATTCTGTAGTTTTATAAGGTATATAAAATCTACGAAAGTTCTATCGCTTCGCGAAAATACATGCCGTTCCGATAGTAAACAATGTATTCGTGTAAAATTAACACTGGTGGCGCTGTACACATTACGTCATTTCTATTTTAACTTTACGACATCTAGATGTGTATAAGAGACAGACTCTTTTCAGCGAACCAGAATCCACGATGGTTTTACCGGCGAAAATAGGGTCTTGGCTGCGCTTATCATCATCGATGTAATACCACATTCAAATGCAGAGGAAGAGAGAATATTCTCTATGGTCAGGAAAAAACAAAACATCATTCCGCTCCAATCTAGACCCAAAGGGTACACTCTCAAGTATCCTAACCATCAAGCTGGCACAACACTTACCTGTCCATGCCTATGAAACACCAACAGAAATTTTGAAGAAAGCTAAGGGTGCAACTTGGGCATACAACCAGTTACATTCATCAAAAGAGAGCAAATGATGCTTCAGCCTCTCTTTTACACAGATCTCCTTTTCTGTTTAACTTGTTTTACCAAAAGAATTGTTTGTCAAATGTAAAACGTGTATTTGAGTATTTTGAAAATTTTTTTGAAAAAAATAAATGAAGTTAAGAGTTTTAACACTGAAATAAAGCTATAGAATTTTATTTTTCAAAAAATGTTAGTATATATTACCCCATTTTTAAGATTTAATTTGAGCACTAGAGATCTGCTCAGAGTGCACCAGAGAGCATCTAGGCCTAAAAATTTCCGGGGCCCTAGGCGGGCCCTCGACCCACGCCTAAATTGTTTCGTTCCTGTGCAAATCTCCATCCACAGCCAAACTCAAACTTGGCATGTATGCGTATGTGCTTTAGCAACATATTTCAAATCTGTATGTTGTCATATGCAAGGATTTCCTCTCAGATACAAATATAATTATTGATTGACAATATTTTCAATTTTTTCTGAATCTAATTTTTATTGAATCTATCGTATTGAACATAAATTAATAAAATATTTACCTTTAATTCTCTGTTAAACTTTAGATGTGCAGTCTCTCCAACAATAGAAGTGGGTTTTTCCAGAAATTATCGTTAGTCATGTGACTTTATAGGCTAGTTTCTTTGTGAGAGCAATCAAGCGTGACATGATGAAATCAGCCATGCAGTGAATTTGAACTTTTGTAAAGTTCAGCTGTAGTGTATTTTTTTGTCATAGCTTAATAATAATATAAATCCAAGTCAAGCTTTTCTTTTATGCTCTTCCCATTCAACCACACTCTACTGGAAATACATAAACTTTTATTTTTAACTGAAATCAGGATTAGTGACAGGAAGGGAAGCAAGGAAAACAGTGTAGCCAAATGTACAAATAAATGCAAATTTCAAAGCAAAACTAGGAACTCCAATAATTTAGGTAAAGTGGCAAAATATGCCAATAGCTAGATAAAAGTAGTGTTAAGTTATCTCAAATTTCTGTAAAAAAACAGTTTAATTGGTGTTTACAAATATATAAAACAACAACCAAAAAATAATGATCAATCAACCAAAACAATTAGAACATTTTAAAGGCACATACAAAATATGTAAAAATACAATACACAATTAAATTAAAAACATTATATAAAAAGCAGAATAAAAATATGTTTAAAGACAATTAATTATTAATCAACAATTGAAATAATTAAATTAAATAAAAATAATGATAAAAATGCTAAATTAAAAAGCACAGTGCACCCTCCAATTTGAGACCCCTCTAATTCAAGACCACTTTTCCAAAGGCCCAAATAACAATCTTTAACCTTTTAAACACAAAGCTAGCCCTCTAATTGGAGACCAACCCTGACACCACCTCAAATTTTCAGGTCCCAAAGGTGATCTCGAATTGTGATTGCAAGCTGTAATTCAAAATTGAATAAGAAATTAAATAATAAAAAAATATTTAAATAAGTTTGGTATAATCTATGTTAAAATTATCACAATAAAATTATGGACAGGTTGAAAACCAGTTCCAGCAATACAACATCATAAAGATCAAAAGAAGAAAGTGTTTATGGCAGATATTGCATCTGTCATAGACTCTAGATAACCAGAAATAAACAAATTTAACAGCCAGATTTAAGGTTAAATATCAACCACTATGCAGCAGGGAGACATAACTTGGTTGTAGTATTTCTCAAAGACACAACTGATCATCAATAGACACAAACCCATATTCTTTTGATTAGAAACCACAGCTTTACCATTTGCCCACTATTTGATTATTTACTTACCGGTACTTCTACATACTTTGTAAAATTTTACCAAGTTTATTGTGACTCATAATTCTAAAGTAGCATTAATAAAAAAAAAATATTTTTTAAATAAATTTAAATGCATTCACTACAAGTGTACAATAAAATATTTATTGGATTCACTTTTGCATCAGTGGCACACATCAGATAGCTGATGGTGCATCCAGAAATAAAGAATGAAAACAAATTAAATCAAATTTAAAACAAAAGGTAAACACGGATGAATTAAAGGCCTGTAAATGCAGTATATGTCTATGATGATTTTGATGTTTAACTAATAGAAGTGTAATAATTGGATACATGATTTGATGTTCATAATGGGATATTATGTACAACATGCTTTAGCTGAAGAATATACTGTAGACGTATTAAATAAGATACAATTAAATAAAACACACTGTAAAATTTACAAAATTATACATGTCAGTTAGTCATTCAAAAAAAAAAAGTAAAGAAAATATATAACAAAACAGTTGTAGTACAAGATCTTAAATTTGAATTGCCGTACAGATGTTAAAATTAATTGGCATCAAGTAATGTTGAATAGATATATTATTTGCTTAATGTAAGAAGTGCTTAAAGTAACATAGTTATATTTTCATAAGCATTTAACGTGTGCCGCTATCAAAAAATATATGTTGAAAATGATTCATACACTGCAAAAATTGAGAATATGAAAATTACAATAGAACTTCTAATGGTCATTTTAATATTAAACCCACATAGTGGAACTACTTTGCCTCTGAATTGTTTGTTTGATTCATACCTTCCAATCCCAAAGGTCCTGGGTTCAATCACAGGGGTTTTCTCATGAAAGTCTACACAGCATCAATCCATCCTGTATTTGTGAGATATTTGTTGTTGGATTTAAAAGAAATAATACCTCAATTTAAAATAGCGCCACCAATGCCTCCAGATTCTCACTCTGGAGACATGATGCCGAATATATGAAATGTGTCGGCATTTTGTTGGCTGAAGGATAAAAACAGCCCAAATGAAGATTAAAATTGAAATTTGAAAATATGTTTTGGGCTGGGGTATTACTATTTTACTTTAGTAAATCATAATGATATTAATTTCTGTGAAGTATTTAAAGCACTTTAATATTAATCTGTAAAATTATTTAAAGCACTCTAATATTAATCTGTGTTAAAGTTAAAGTACTCTAATATTTCTGTCTGTCCTTACATGATTCTTTTTCAATCAGTCAAGTTTTTGAATTCCTTCTCAGCATATCAAACAATGGCAGCAGAGTCTATGCATTGCAGGGGTAGAATATGAAAAAGTTTGAAGCAAGTAGTATGAACAAACATGGAGAATTCTAGGAAGAATATTGCAAACCTTGATAGTCTTTAAGAGGATCATACAACAAGCAGAGTACTGCAAAGTAGAACAGAACAAGAGGTGAGGAAATAACTAGAAATGGAGATTACACTGAATTTTTTTATTACGTTCAGTTTTTTTCATTATTATTATTATTATTATTATTATATTTTTATTTGAATTGTATTTATTTAATTTGTTTATTTATGATGTATTTTAATATCAAGTCAATTGTAGGTGTTGTACCAACATAAAGTCAAAGCAATATGAAAATTTCTGGGCGCATTAAAAAATATAACAATAATTAGTAACATGTTTTTTTTAATTTTTTGAGCAAGAAGAAACTTCCTTTGTCTCAATATTAATTATAATAATAAATTGTAAAGAGTATCTGGAACACCTAATAGATGACTTGTTGCACTCTTTTCTTTCTATTTTGTTGATATCAGAACACAGATGATGAGAAGGCGGAGCTTAGTATTTACTGTGTCATCTGGTTTGACGAGAGCCATCAGACATTTTCAGATATGTTTAAGAAAGGTATGATCAACTATTTGATTTGTTAGTTAGTGAGAAATCTTTCTTTATTCTGGATACTCAGTCATTATTGTTACACTGTTCTTCCCTGAGGTCCAGTGTATTATTTGTTTGTTGATAAGAACTAATCATAGGGTCAATCTTGAGTGATCATGAAATACAGTTTTCCGTACATGATTATAATCATGAAATACAGTTCTCTGTACATGATTACAAACTAACTACTGTGTACTAGATATTACAGTAGAACTGTACTACAAAGTAAGCCACAAATATTAATACAAAGTAAGCCACAAAAATTAATAGCAATTATTATACTGTACAGACATCTATACAGATTTAGATGATTTTTTGTCAAAGTATACCATGAAGAAATATAAAATTGAATTGGTTTTAATGCAGGATAACATTTACAAATAAATGTAAACAAAAGCTAAGCTTACTGAATCATATATAGTAATAACAATTATAATTTACATACATATTAGATTCAGATAATTTATTGTGAAATTGCACATGAATATCTATAAATTTAGTATATTGTATACAGATTAACATTTATGATGATTGCAAACAAAAGCGAAGCTTAAACTAAATCAAAATGATAAAATGCTTTTAAATATTTCTCTGTCCCACTACTTTGAATCAGATTATTTAGGCAGATTAATGTTTATAAGAAACCTTAAACATATACAAGAATAATCAATCTGACTCAACGCATCTTATTCATTTAATCGATGAATACCTGTAGGTGTACTTATAATATGCACTCTGTTGTGTGCTTGTTAGGTTTTTTTTTATACAGAAAAACTAAAAGGAAATATACAGGTACTAAAAAAAAGAATAAACAAACTTGCAATTATCAAAATTTATGAAAATCAAAGAGATACAAGTTGATAGGCTACAAAAAAAGCCCCAATGGATCCGATTGAAAAGTGAAATTCTTAACTTCAATATGCAAGAAAATAACATGAATATGCATTAAATGAATACAAACTTCAAATTTCACAAGTAATACAAAAAATAAAGTCAGATCAATTATGTGTGATTCAAATTTGATTAGAACCAGACTGTAAACAATTGAGGGTGGCAGATTCCAGTGTTATTGTTTTCAGTAATTAAATATTTTAACAGTTTAATAACAATAACTAAATGCTATTTTACCACTCTCCATTTTGTACATTCTGCCAATTATGTTACCATTCTTCATTTTGTACATTCTGTCAACTTTCACACCTTGTGGTAGTGTAACCTTACCAACATATTCTCCTGATTGCTTAAACTTGAGCAATTCATTTGGCCAGCATGAAACCAGTAAGGAGTCATCTTCACACTTAACTACATCTCTAATATATGTTGAGTTTATTTTAATAGTATTTACTAATCTTCTCTCTTCTACTTTGATTATCATTGGTGATTGCTTAATTGATTCATTATCAGCACTCACTTCTAGTTGAAAAACTCCCAGACTTGTGCATTTTCCTGTCACAAAATAATCTCCATTGTCTTCCTGAACTTGAGAGATGCTGGTTTCTCCAGAAGGATGTGTCCATGTTGCCTTCAGTTGATTTGCATATATTTCATGTTCATCTGTTTTGATTATTTTGACAATAAATGATTGATCTTTGATCACAGATTCCTCTCCTTTTAGTGTTAAACAGTCTGCTGCCCTCAATTCTGTTACGGTCCCAATATCACATTGTCCCAATAAAGCCCTTCGCTGTTTGTTTCTGAAGAAATACATTTTTCCATTATCAATTGGCTCTGTTTTTGGTAATTCATTTATTCTGTCCTTCAGTGCTGTAATTGCTGTTTCACTTGACTGCATTGCTGTGCTTTCATTAGTGTTCAATAATAGGATAAGAAAAGAAAGTTTTGTATTTATATCAGATATTGTTGTTTTTAATTTTTCCATTTGTACATCATTTACCTTCTTTTTTCTTTTGTAGATTGTCCCTACTTTATTTTTCATTTTGTCTCTATTCTCTTTTACTTTTTTGAATATTTCTTCAACGTGATTGTCTATATCTCTCAAACATGTGTCTTTACATTGGTCTAATTTTGTAGCATTCTGGAGGACAGCTTTGAGACCATCTTCTAATTTGTTTATGAAGTGTTGGGAAGATTTTTCCAAGGTGGCTAAAGTTTCTTTAAATGTTTGGAATGCATCTGAAATGTTGATTGGTTTGTGTTTTCCTTCCCACTCCTTGTGGTCCATATTTGTACAGTTCTCACAGATTGGAGTTTTACAATCTGTGCAGTAGAACTCCAAAGGTTTACTGTGATGTGAACACAGAGGTGGATGTAACAAAGTCATCTGAGAGGGGCTCATTGATTGCACATCCTCCATTAAATGTAACTTGTGATTTGCAAAGAGTCTATACCTCTTATGTTGATCACTACAAGTAGAGCACAAGTACTGTCTGCAATCCTGGCAGTAGTATTTTACTGGTTCTTCTTTTTCACAAACACTACATATCATCAGATCTCTCTCTGAAAGTTTTTCTATAGTTTCTAATAAGTTATTTAGAAAGGTATTTGGTGGAAGCTTCTGAAGCCCGCCCTCTGGAATGGGATATGATTTTGAGCAAGTTGGACAAATCAGCTCTTCCTTAGTCTTAACCCAGTCTTCCAGGCATGCCAAACAGAAACTATGGAGGCAGGTGAGGGATTTTGGATTCTCAAGTCTCTTAAAGCAGATGGTACACTCTAAGACCTTCTCATCAACATTTTCCAGAAACTGATTTAACATACTGGTAGCCGCCTGGAAATAACATCCTGTAAATAAAAAATATTTTTAAATAATTTTATACTTTAGGCCTAATAATGTTACAGTGACCTAATTGATAACCTAATTTGAATAATATACTATTATTTCCAAGCTGCAACCTACAAGCTTATCTAGCACTGTAGCTCCACTATATGTGTGAGCATTTCAGTTAGTTGTATCAGAGAAAGTGCCAGGTGGGTTAGATCTGTACATTTGTTTAATAGATGTGAAAAAAATATATTATAAAAATTATTTCAGCATTGCTTTATCTATTCAGTTCTGTTATAATGCATAATTAGGTACTAAACTCCACACGTTCTAATCACCTCGCTGCTCCGGTACTGTTTTACACTCTTCATCTCTAGACAATTCCTTGGATATTCCCTTATTAGATGCTATAGAGAAAAACGTTCTATGAAATCAATGTTGCTCAAAAGAATGTTATTCTAACATTATTGTTTTCTTTTCTATTGTAAAAACAATTTAAAATAACAGAATGCAGTCATAAGTTGGTTTCAAGCTAGAGACCTATTATCCAGATCAGGAGTTAACCGTAGCACCAGTGTGGGAATGGCTGATGGGTTAGTTAGCTTTAACCGTTACCAGGTCTGGATACGCTAATGGTTAGCAAGCTATCGGTCTGTTGCGCTCTTTTCTATCATTTACCAATCACATGTATGCATTTCCCATTCCAGTTTCCTACTGGCCAGTGATCCTATCATCTTGTTATCTTAATCAGGGATTTTCTTGTATGAATGCACAGGCGAGCGCATATGTAACTGATCCTGCTAACTGTCAGCTGGTGTGTGTGTGGGTGTGTGTGAACGTGTGTGAGCATAGCCCAGATAAATCTGTCCTCACATACACTATAGCCCCTATTCTCCTTGTCAATAGGTGAGTCCCCTGGGTAGGCCGTAGTGTTAAAATATATACTTCCACATTTAAAAGTTGTGTTCACTAAATAGGGTGTCCCCTTAACAGGGGTATCCTAAATTAGGGTTTCTATTGTACTTGAAATTGTATTGATAATGTTTTCAATGAAGTAATAATCCTAATAATAATAATAAGAATGTTATCTTATTAGGCGCACGTATCCATCTCTTGGTAGAGCTGCTCGCGGCGCCGTTTTCCACCTGCAGAGTGTATCTTTTTTCTGCATTATTATTTGAATTAATTAATATATTTTATTTAAATTATTTATTATTTTATTTTTATGTATATTTATTTTATAACAGAACTGACATGGATGGGAAGATAGGAAAAATAAGATGTAAATACTCTTCGGGGTCACCATCCATCAAAACCCTGGCACATTCCCGGACCTCTGCCTAGGTGGCTCAAACAAAGGAACTGGAAATACATTTGCCCTGCCACAGACGACCGGGTGCTCAGGAGTTGTAATCAAGACAGTGGCCCCAAAAAATAAATGCCGGCCTGTGAAAAATGGGGGCGAACTTGCATAGTATTTAGTACAACCTTTTCTTTAAATTAGCATACTTTTAGCAACAAGCCAAACCAGTCACTCATCGCAAATCCTGTTTCAGAGATATTGGCCAAAACATGCTGTAATGTCAAATTTTTTTGAAATCTATTTTATTGCACTAAACTAACCTGATGTATCCATACATCATGCGATGCTGATGTTTCCCCATTTTCAATGTTAAAACAATTTAATGATTTGGTGATGTTTTTTGCCTTAAACTTTGAAGGCTGATTTCTCAAATATTGTTCTTTAAACAGGTGTATGTTTAAATGCTTGAAACTTCTTAAGGAAATGTCGGATTTAAATGATTCTGTTACCATTTTATAGCACTCAATTTAATGTTGAACACTGTATTAATAACTAAAAATTGAATTTTGTGACTGGTTTGGCTTGTCTTTACCACATATGTCATTCTTATAAAATAAAATGGTATCCAACTGGGTTGAATTAATTTTCATAATTTCTCACCTTTTCCTCTCAGCTTACTGAGCACTGCTTTGAATTCATTTTCATCAATGTACGTCATCCATTCATCTATGAACTCCTGCTGATGTTCCTCTGGGACTAATATGTTAGCTAAATCTTTGATGAGCTTTCCACTAGAATATATTTCCCATAGCTGCATCAAAGCATTAGGATCATTTGTTGATAGGTAAAATACTATTGATCCTTTCCCAACCTTTGTTAATGTTAAACCACAACTTTTGTAATAGATAATAAGGTTCTCAAACTTGTCAAAAAATTCTGGTATATCCTTTAAAGTTAGGGAGTCTTTATGTTCATCAAGATCATTTAACAAATTAAGAGCATACTTTTTATATGGTCGTCCTTCAGAATCACAAGATTCTCCTTTGCGTTTCTGAATTAATTTCACAGCAATTTCTTTCAAAATAAAAGATAAAAAGATATATATTAAATCTATAATTATTAAACAATCTAGCATATAATTTATACTTCACGTGGTCAGCCATCAAAAATGTTTGTACTGTAGAAAGAAAATGAGAATTATGACATCCACTTTTGAGAGTTGTTTTGAATAAACAGTATTGTCTTCTACCTTATGTTAGATCATGGAGGCATAAAAATGTTCTCCAATGTTAAGTGAATGATAAAGCAGTTTATAGCAGCTTAGTATCATTTTCCATGTACTGTGGGGCAGACATTTTGTAACTGTTTTTTCATGCATTCCTTTTTGTTAATTTTAAATTGTTAATTATTTCCTTCTTTCCTACATGAACTTGGAAAACAACTTTTTTTTCTATGTTATAATTATTATAATCAACCATACTTTACATGAACATGTGTCATTACCTTCTCTATGGCCATGTCCAGAGTTCGAAGATGCATTTGGGATTTCTGTAAATAAAAGTTAATTTAATATAATACATTATAAATTCTTATGTAGACATAATTAAAAGTTTAGGGACAAAGATGTCACCATTCAGGGCTAGAGAAGCAGATCCTGAAGAAAGTGAGGACTACAATCATTTAAAATGTCAGTTACTGCATCGGATTATTACGCCTTAAAGCATAGTCACTGTAATAAATGGAAGATTCATTAATGAATGAATCTCTTCATTTACTGTCCAGTATCTCATAAAGCAATTCAGTAAAATAATAATAATTTTCATTTCTGGAGTCAACACCCAGTGGAGCCTCATCTTGGTTGGGGTTGAGGTGCAGAAATTTAAGGAAATAGTAGGCCTCCCTCTAGATGGCCAGATATGGACACACTTAAATAGTGATATTCATTATCATCACCCATTTTACTGAAAGTGAAGAGGCTGCAAATTTCTCATGATTTTTATTAGTGATCTGTGATGTACTGTACCATAAAAAAAAAAAAACTTTTATGGAAATAAATTAGTCAGAGCAAATAAATACAGCAAATTTTCACTATACCCTCAGTTGTTCTTATGTTGCAATAAGGGCCAGAATTGTTCAGGGCAAGAGATGATGGCACATAGCGCCTTCTGAGCACCACTGATGCGATCCGTGGGAGAGTTTGGGAGGGGATGCTCCCCTACCCGAATTAATTTTTTTTTTTTAAATAATAATCCGCTAGAGACTCATACAGGGCATCTTGACTTGACCTAAGAAAGTTGCACTGTAATTGGTATTATCAAAAAGCATGGCTGCTGGCAGTAAGCTGATGCATGATGGACTGTACATAGCCACACCAGATAACAATATTAATTTGATATAAAATAACAATTAACTTGAATACCTTCTGTTAAAGCTTCCATAGCATGTTGGAGTTTAAGGGAATTCAGTTTTTCAATGAAGGCATTCATTTTTCCTTCACAAATTGCCCTGTTGTGCTCCAGATCCATAATCAAACTCCATGTGTCTGCATATTCCTTCACTGGATCGTTATATAATGCACTGATCTTATTTACATCTTCATCAATCAGTACCATTCCAAGCTTCATAACTTTTCGTCTGTGATGTGTGAATTTTGAGATTTCTACATCTTCAACATTTTGAAATACTGGCAGTATATCTTTGATCCCTCTTTGCTCTGTTATGTTTATGGTATCATAGAGAACATTGAGATTAGCTGAGTGAAGATGTCCAGAAGCAGTTAACATATTCATTAATTCCATCACCTTTGTAGCCTTATTTAACTTGTAATTATCTTTTAAAAGATCTTTGTACAATACTTTGAGCATATTTGTGTATTCGCGTTGATCATACCATTTTGAAATATCTGATAACAGCTCTCTGAAAGCATCATCATTGATTTCTATGAAATTAACAAAATAGAGATCTCATAACTGATGGTTCATAAATACCCATTATTTACAGTAAATTGAAAGTTATTTAAAAGAAAATTCATTCATTTCATTATTTATTTGATCTAATAAACAAACATTAAACAGGAGTAATTAGAAAAATGGGTAGTACCAACCAAAATATAAATTAAATTAATCATTAGGAAAAAAAATTATATTGTCGCAGAGACAATGACAAAAATTATATATTCTCTTGAAATGCAAGTCATCTTATAGTCGTAACCCAGTCTTACAAATATGCTAAATAGATGGAGGAAGTTGAGGGATTTTGGATTTTGAAATCTCTAAACGCCTTTAATAACTGATTTAAACTTACTGGTAGCCATCTTGATATAAAATCCTGTGAATTTTAAATAATTTAAATAATTATTAAATAATTTGAAATGGATAAATAATCATGGTAAAGTAATCATTAATTATTAGTTCATTAAGCTTTTATGACAGATACAAGTTAAGTATAAGGATACAAATAATGATTTTAACATGATATATGTGCTGACATAATAAGAAGTATCAAACTTTTTTTTGAATATAAATAATAATTTAAATAATTATTAAATAATTTGAAATGGATAAATAATCATGGTAAAGTAATCATTAATTATTAGTTCATTAAGCTTTTATGACAGATACAAGTTAAGTATAAGGATACAAATAATGATTTTAACATGATATATGTGCTGACATAATAAGAAGTATCAAACTTTTTTTAGAATATAAATTTGTGAGTGCATTTTTAATATATGAGCTATTTTTGCAGATCTATATTAAACCCTGCATTGTCTGAATATAGGCCCTACAGCTGTAAAGTTTCTATAACATTATATTTTTTATTTCTGTGCTCGAATTTCAGCCAAGAAAAATATCCCTTGCATATAAAAATATTATTTATTTAGGCTATGAGAGTGGAGATAATTTATTGGTCAATTCAGTTGTAAACTTTGAGCGAGCTGTTATCATGTATGCAGAGTGAGCATCTGCCTCAAGAAATAGAAATTGTGGTGGTCATTGTCTCTTGAGAGCAGAATTCTTATTAAAAATTATACACACACTTTGTGTAAACTGTCATAAGAGGCAATTTGCTTAGCAAACCCATACAAAAGGCAATTTGATAAACTGGTCTTTATATATGTGCTGGGCTTAAAGGTAGCAATCATTATGGTAAGTGATCTGTAATATAAATATAGGAAATATCTAAAGTGATAAAACACCATGAGTATCCATTTTTTCTCTGTATAGTATGTGCAGCTATTTGATAAAATAGATTATATGCCTATTACTTTATTTACCATATTTGTCTGGCACACTTCTCTTTAGCAACTAATAAATGTATAATATCTTTGCAGGTGAGGGCCCTCATTATTACTAGTATCTGTCTTTATTTTTCATAAGACAATCCTTTCTTATTAATATTTACTGCATGTATCTATAATAAATATATAAAATCTTTTAATCATTATTTGGTTTATTGGTCTGTAGTAGGCCTACATACCTTATGTGAATATACTTGTATAATGCTCTGACTTTTCTCAATGATATTTTGCTCAGGTAAATAATATTTTGATTCAGTATTTTCATTTTTTTCTGAATCATTAATATGTTAAGCATTGGATCTAATACTAAATAACTTAAATTGAAATATTTACCTTAAAATTCTTCGGTTGGTTTTTCAGTGAGGTGCATATGTGAAGTGTCTCCAATCAGGAAATGGGTGTTTTTCAAGGGTTTACTGTATCTTTAGTCATGCGATTTGGTATATTAAGCTGTTTCTTTGTGAATGCTATCAACCAACCATGACTTTGTGAAAGCAGAGACTGAGAACTATTCAATAGTAAATTGTTATGTATTGAATACAAATTATTACAGTCAGAACTCCTTTTCATTGTCATATTTGTATAACAGTCTAGTGTTTTTTTGTTTTTGTTTTTTTTTGTTTTGTTTTTTGTACTGTTGCTCTCATTATGTCAATTCAACAAACAGGACCCCAATGGAAATAAGTCTTTTGGACTACCTTGCTGGGTTATTTTTTGAATTTGTGTTCTTGACACCAAAGAAAATGAATCTACCGATCCTTTTGATCCTTCTCTTTTTCACTCTCTTTTTCATACCTTCTCTACTATCTTGTGTTCTATTCTCCTCTCCTTTTTCATCTGCCTTTTCTCCTCCTTTTCTCCTGCCCTTCATTTCTATTGATCTCTTTCTTTCCATCTTCTCGTATTATGCTGGTCAATATTATTAAAAGAAGATGATATTTACACTTTTTTTTATACCAAATCAAAGCCATGTATTTCTGAGACAAGAAAGAATTTTTTTTTTTAAATTACAAAATAGAAAATGAATCAATAAACAAAAGATGTTTGTTGAAATTATGCAGAGGTCTCCAGATTTGCTAATCGTGAAACTATTAATGGACTTCTTCACTTGTTGTCTGTATGTATACTGACAAATTCCCTCATACACTTTCCCTTACACTATGTGACACGTAAGCGTGTGCTTTTACAAACACTTGTCATTCTTGTATTCGAACATTGGTGATAGAAATAAATGCAACATACATCAACACACAACCACTAGGAGATGCTTACACCCACCTGCCCATGTACTCTATATGGATGATATGAAATAATGGATATTCATATGTTGTACACTTGTTGCTAAATTTGCTCATATGATTTTCGAAAAATTTAATTGGTTTTTAAAAAAATCTTAATTAGCTCTACATATCATATATTTTGCTGTTTACACTCTGTACTTTACTTTTCAATTGTTCTATTATATTTCGTCGCTCATAAGCCAGGCACGGCTGACATTTGTTTGAGAGTGAGACTTTAATAAATAAATACTTTACTTTAATTACATTAAAAATTAAAAATTTATGAAAATAACACACAAGTAAAGCAAGTGAACTGTTTATAATTTATAACTGACTATTTTTACTGTCAATGTTTAATAATTGAATATTTTTACTGTTTTGTCACCATAATTTGCAACTGCAAGTCTCCTTGGATGATAATAGATATTCCCATTGGATAGTTGATTCCATCTTTCTGGTTTATCAATTCTTTTAATGAAAGTTCCTTCACTACTGAATAGCTGTAGTTTGTGATTACTTCATATAATGATGTTGTCATCCTCATCAACTGCTAAGGCATATGGATACCTCACTTTACCATTCCCATCACCTGCTTCAACAAGGACATTTATGAACCTTCCCTCCTTGTCAAATAATTGTAATCTGCTGTTGAAATACTCCAATACAAGAAGGTGTCCTTGGTTTGTAAGAGTAACATCAATGACACTATTCATTTGACCTTCTTCTGAGCCAGGTGACCCTATCTTTTTGATGATCTGGCCATTATTCATGTCAAACATGTACACACAGCTACTGGACCAATGCGCTACATATAAAACATTAGATGTCTCATTCATATGAATACCGTATGATGAACTCAATACTCCCTCACCAATTGTTTTTATCACCTCACCATTTATATTGCATATTCTAATGAATGTAATATTATCATCACTAAATGCTATGTTACCATTCTTCATTTTGTAAATTCTGTGAGCTTTCACACCTTGTGGTAGTGTAACCTTACCAATATGTTCTCCTGATTGCTTGTACTTGAGGATTTCATTTGTCTCGCATGAAACCAGTAAGGAGTCATCTTCACACTTAACTACATCTCTAATATATGTTGCATTTATGTGAATAGTGTTTACTAATCTCAGATTCTTCTCCCTTTAATGTAAAACAATCTGCTGCCCTCTGTGTTACTGTTCCCATATCACACTGTTTCAATGAATCTATTTGCTCTTTGTTTACAAGGAAGTAAATTTGTCCATTATCATCTGGCTCTGTTTTTGGCAATTCATTTATTCTGTCCTTCAGTGCTGTAATTACTGTTTCACTTGACTGCATTGCTGCACCTTCATCACTCTTCAATAATCGATTAAGAAAAGACAGTTTTGTATTTATATCAAATAAAACAAAAGTGACTCCAAATAGAGAAAGTGAGGCCATATTTACAATATGCAAATACAATTTATATCAGATATTGTTGCTTTTAATTCCTCCATTTGTACATCATTTACCTTCTTTTTTCTTTTGTAGATTGTCTCTACTTCTTTTTTCATTTTGTCTCTATTCTCCTTTACTTTTTCAAATATTTCATCAACATGATTGTCTGTCTTTCTCAAGCTTGCATCTTTACATTGTTCTAAATCTGTAGCGATCTGAATAACAGCTTTGAGACCATCTTGTAATTTGTTTATGTAGTGTTGGCAAGATTTTAACAAAGTGGCTGAAGTTTCTTTAAGTGTTTGGAATGCTTTAGAGATGTTGATTGATTTGTGTTTTCCATCCCATGCGTTGTGGTCCATAAGTATACAATTCACACAGATAGGAGTTTTACAATCTGTGCAGTAGAACTCCAAGGGTTTACTGTGATGTGAACACTGAGGCGGATGTAACAAAGTCATCTGAGAGGAACTCATTGATTGCACATCCTCCATTAAATGTAACTTGTGATTTTTCAAAGCTTGAAACATTTTATGATAGTCGCTGCAATTAGAGCACAAATACTGTCTATACATTCCTGGCAGTAGTATTTTACCTGTCCTTTTCCGCAAACACATTTCATCTGATCTTTTTCAGAAAATTGTTCAATAGTTTCTAATAAGTTATTTAGAAAGGTATTTGGTGGAAGCTTCTCAAGCCCTCTTTTTGGAATGGGAAATGATTTTGAGCAAGTTGGGCAAGTCAGCTTACCCTTCTTCTTAACCCAGTCTTCCAGACACAGCAAACAGAAACTATGGAGGCAATTGAGGGATTTAGTATTTTGAAGTCTCTTAAAGCATATGGTACACAGGACCTTCTCATCAGCATTTTCTAAAAACTGTTCCAACTTACTGGCAGCCATCTTGAATTAAAATTCTGTGAATTTAAAAATTTTTGATATTTACTATATTATAATTTGGGCTCAAAATAATGATAATATTAAACTTATATGTATATAGCTCAAAATGCAAATGCTTCTATGATAGATTATGTGGTAATGGATACAAAAATTTACTTTATGATATTGTAGTATTTCTTACCTTCTAATCTGTGAGTACATTTTAATAATTAATGGGCTGATTTGTGGAACCTTTTGCCTTTTACCCATGCTTTAACTGTGGCGATATTTCCAACACTAATTTTATTCTTTTGAGCACAAATTTTAGCTACCCATATTGCCATGCCATAACTAAATGTTTTTAAGGGAGTAGAGCCAATGAAAATTTTGTATTACTAGTGATGATTTATGTGCCATGTAGAGGTGGCCTAGAAATTATATTTTAACTTGGTCTCCTAGAAAAAGTTCACAATCGATCAATCAAATTAGTCTTCAAACTCTTCACCTTTATCAACACGAAAGGTTGTGTTACTTCGACTCACCAGCTATATTCTTTAAAATTAAAAAAACAATGCAGGGTGATATTTTACCTGGTTTTCCATTTGGTTTAGTAGCCTGCATGCACATACATTTAATATTAATGCCAACCATAAATAATAATTAATATAATAGCTCTGTATACTGGAGCACTACCAATATTTTTAAAATCTGATGATTAGAATGGTTCTGGTTATGGTGGGTAAAGCTGACCACCTAAGGATTCCTACCGTACCACCTCAGGCCGCATTGGACCTGATAGGTATTGTAGGAAGCTCACAATCACACAAGCATCGGCTTTGCAAAAAAAACCCACATTTGGTAGTGAAATCTCGGAGAGTTCTAGGTACAGTAGAGTAAGCGAAAATTACACCGCAAAGAAAAGAGGCGAGAAAATTAGAATGTTATGATTGTACAATTGATCTTTCTTAAAAGTGACAAGCATTCACTTCTGGACAATTGGACTTACACTTTCCCACATTTGATTGTAACTTTTAAGCAAAAGCTTTGTTTTTTCTAATATTACTTAATTATCAGTTTCTTGATAAACAGGCTATTAGTTTATCAGTAAGGAACATTTCATTTCATTGCCAACTTGATATAGATCCAAGACAAGTTCTTTCTGTTTTTGACTAAGATCTCATCTTCCAAATTCAACATCCAGAAAGACCCCACTGGAAATAAATATACATTTTTTGTTTTAAATCACCATTATTGGTGTGAAACTTAAAAAGAGGGTATTCAAGTATTTTCTTTTTACACAAAATCACAGTTACAAAATAATTGCATTTGTTTATAAGTATGAATGAATGAAAACCATCAATTAAAAACATTTGATAAAATGCACATGAAAAACATGTATAAAGCAATTAAACAAATCAAAGGAATTAAATAGCTTTTTCTGTTTTAAAATTAAGTTTTATTAATATTTAAAATTTAAAAAAATAATTGAAATGCAATGTGAGATAATAAACAATAGAATACTGCAAATTATTGAAAGTCATTAAAGACCCAAAGGTAAGTCAGCCCCAACTCAGATCTAATGAAAAACAAAAAAAAAACTTTAAACATCTCAAAAACCTTGAATGGGTGCCAGCTAGGCATTACTATAGGTTTGGAATGGTACCTCATCAGTACATGGTGCCCCAACTGGCCTCTGCGAAAAATTGTCAACAGTTGTCAGACTGTTTTGACCTCTGTCAGACAGTTTTTTCCTGAAGTTAAGCTAAATCATTTGGTAGTTTAATATTGGAGTTGAGTTGAATAGCTCAGAGGTTAAGAGGCTTCCTTTCAACCAAGGGTCTCTGGTTCATTCCTGTCAGTGATGTTTCAAGATTTTTTCTCATGACCAAGGCAAATACACTCCC